GAGGGGACACGGTGACACCAGTAGATCAAGATGGATGTGGGGCACCACCCAACCTTCTCCCTGCCCCTCCAACATCTTGAGGGGACACGGTGACACCAGTAGATCAAGATGGATGTGGGGCACCACCCAACCTTCTCCCTGCCCCTCCAACATCTTGAGGGGACATGGTGACACCAGTAGATCAAGATGGATGTGGGGCACCACCACACGTGGGATGGGGTGTCACCACCCCCCTTTCAGGACTTGCTGCCACCCCCCAACCTTCTCCCCCCGGGGTCAGCCCTGGGAGCGGGGATGGGGGATGGGGTGGTGGATCCATCTCCACCGGGTGGGGGACATGGTTTGGTGTCCCCAGTGACTTGGGGACCAGAGGTCCCTGTGTCCACGTGTCCCTGTGTCCCTGCCACCTCCTGATCCAGAGGTCTCCATGTCCCCATGTCCCCATGTCCCCATGTTCCTGTCACCTCCTGATCCAGAGGTCCCCGTGTCCCCATGTCCCTGTGTCTCCATGTCCCCATGTCCCCTTGTCCCCATTTCCCTGCTCCCTCCTCATCTGGAGGTCCCCATGTCCCCATGTCCCCATGTTCCTGCCATCTCCTGATCCAGAGGTCTCCATGTCCCTGTGTCTCCATGTCTCCATGTCCCCATGTCCCTGCTCCCTCCTCATCTGGAGGTCCCTGTGTCCCTCTGTCCCCATGTTCCTGTCACCTCCTGATCCAGAGGTCCCCATGTCCCCATGTCCCTGTGTCCCCATGTCCCTGCTCTCTCCTCATCTGGAGGTCCCCATGTCCCCATGTCCTCATGTTCCTGTCACCTCCTGATCTGGAGGTCCCCATGTCCCCATGTCCCTCTGTCTCTATGTCCTCATGTCCCCATGTCCCTGCTCCTTCCTGATCTGGAGATCCCTGTGTCCCCATGTCCCCATGTCCCTGTGTCCCCATGTCCCTGCTCTCTCCTCATCTGGAGGTCCCCATGTCCCCATGTCCTCATGTTCCTGTCACCTCCTGATCTGGAGGTCCCCATGTCCCCATGTCCCTCTGTCTCTATGTCCTCATGTCCCCATGTCCCTGCTCCTTCCTGATCTGGAGATCCCTGTGTCCCCATGTCCCCATGTCCCTGTGTCCCCATGTCCCTGTGTCTCCATGTCCCCTTGTCCCCATGTCCCTGCCACTTCCTGATCCAGAGGTCTCCATGTCCCCATGTTCCTGTGTCCCCGTGTCCCCATGTCCCCATGTCCTTGCCACCTCCTGGTCCAGAGGTCCCCATGTCCCCACGTCCCTGCTACCTCCTGGTCCAGAAGACCCAATGTCCCCGACACGTCCTGGCCTGGAGGTCCCCATGTCCCCGTGTCCCCACGTCCCTGCCACCTCCACATCCAGAGGTCCCCATGTCCCTGTGGCCCTCCTACCTCCCAATCCAGAGGTCCCCATCACCCCACGATGTCCCCATGGCCCTGCTACCTCCTGACCCAGAGGTCC